CAGTAGGTGGAACAAGGTGCTGCTGCTAAATCCCTTGAGTTTGAGGTTTTGCTAACCAAGATGAGGGAGTGTTCCTAGCATCTTCTGCCCTCCTTTTTTTCAATGGAGTTTCACTCCAGTAAACACAAATTATGACCACCCACTGTCCCTGATATGTAAAAAGGAATTCAAGGATCATGCATTTAGAGCACAGTTGATGGTCTAGCTCTGCCTCTCACCAGCCTTGAAATTGGTTCTGAGTAATTCAGTTACATCTGTGGGATGGGGACAAGTGCCTAGCATAGCTGAATAATGGCAGTTCTTAAATCCCATGCACTGTGCTGGGCCAGGCTGGACTCGGGTGCAGCCCGTCAGCCCCTGCAGCCACAGCCCCTTTCATGAGTCTTCTTTCCACCACTACCCCATCCGCATTCTTCAGCCCACTCCGGTTGGCATCTTGCACTCTGTTCCTTCCTCTTTCTGGAAGTAACTCTTCTCTCGGCTTCCAGGCACCAGCTCCCCAGCTCCTCAGTCTGTCTCTCTTGCAGCCTTTCCCCCAACTGCTCAACCTCTAAATTGGCATGCTCCAGCTCGGCCCTGACCCTGGGTCTCCACCCCTTACAGTGTCAGCTGTATGCTGGTGCTTTCCAGACCACTGCCAAGGGGCTGGGTAAACAAAATGTAGGGGACCCATAGAATGGAATGCTACTTAGCCATAAAAAGGACAAGTTTGGGTTTGTTTGTTTTTAATGATTTTATTGGAGCCTCGTTCAGCTCTTATCACAATCCATATATCCATCCATTGTGTCAAGCACATTTGTACATTTGCTGCCATCATCATTCTTAAAACATTTTCTTTCTACTTGAGCCCTTGGTATCAGCTCATTTTTTTCCCTCCCTTCCCCAGCCTCCCTCGTGAACCCTCGATAATTTATCTTTTTTTTTCAAGTCTTACATGGACTTTAACAACTTACACCCTTTAACCATTTTTCTGTTGTCCATCACCTAGGGAGGGGGTTATATGTAGATCATTATAATTGGTTCCCCCTTTCTCCTCCCACCTTACCCTTACCCTCCTGGTATTGCTACTCTCATTATTGGTCCTGAGGGGTTTATCTGTCCTGGATTCCCTGTGTTTCCAGCTCTTATATGTATCCGTGCACATGCTCTGGTCTAGCCAGATTTGTAAGGTAGAATTGGGGTCATGATAGTGGGGGGAGGAAGCATTAAAGAACTAGAAGAACGTTGTTTGTTCTGTAGGTGCTACCCTGCACCCTGACTGGCTCGTCTCCTCCTCGTGACCCTTCTGTGAGGGGATGTAAGAAGGACAAGTTCTGATTCATGCTGCAACATGGATGGGCCTCATCTTTTCCCCCAACCTTGTAGTTAGTGGCCCTGCGCTTCCCTGACAGCCCCACCAGGTCTCCCTCTTCTAGGGAAATAGCAAGACAGTCATATTAAGACTTATATACAAAGAGGTGTCCATAAGGCAAGATGGAAAGAAAGTAAACGTATAAAGAGCTAATAAATGATCAGTTAATTTGGGCAAGTTCACAAGAGAAAATGCAGATTTGCCAGGAGCTGTAGAGTGTGCTGGTTGGGCTAGGGAGTGACTGCTAAAGGATCCCCAGGGTGGGTGAGGGGGATGGGGGGTGGAACAGACAAGTCCTTGTCACTCCCCTGGATTCTCCCACTTTGTCTAAATGCCAGGCCCTCCTGTGGGCCTTGGCCACACCCCCTCCCACCACTGTATTTCGGGCTCCTCTCACTTTGTCAGACCACGCTCTCCCCTCTCGGGCCCTTTAAATGTGCTGTGCCTTCTGCTTAGGTGTCCCTTTGTCCATGGTTGGCTCTAGCTTAACTCTTAGTATTGACTGGAGCCTCATCTCTTCTGAGGCAGTCTCCAACCTTCCTCCCTCATTGCTACCCTCACATAACCCTCCTGCTCATTTCATTCCTAATACCCGCTGCAGTTTATAATGTAGTCAACTCCCCCACCTAAGAGTATGATTGATGAAGAGAGGCAGGAGCTCTCAGCTCATCTCTATGCTCAGTGCCCGGCACCTCGTAATGAAAGGCTACCCAGCCAACAAAGATAGGGACAGAGGCAGGACTTGAACCCTAGGCTTTGCTTTTCCCCCTGTGCTACATGATTCTGAATTAGGAAGTCAAGGTTTACACGAGGTCTCTGAATATAGCTCCAGGGTCTGACAGGTCCCCAGTCTTGTGCAGTGCACTCAGGTACACTTGTCACCAGGCAAGGTGCCTGCAGGCTCAGACAGCTGAGTCACTCTAGGAAATCTACAGCGTCCCTGTGCCCATCCACTTCTCTGTCCCCACTTCCGCCTTTCGCATTCTCCCAGAGCCAAGGCCTAGCTGTCCCCATAGGAGGGGAAGTGGTCAACTGCAGAATGGAAAGCATGGCCCTGGAGGTGCCCAAACCCGCAGAGGCGGGCTCACTCTGCCCAATGGGTGAAGCCGGGACAGGCTGCAACCCCAGTTCCAGACTCCACAGGTAGTGCCTGGATCTAGCTGCAAGTGCATCAGGGATGTCAGAAAGCCCTGGGATGGGGACTCGTATGGAAGCCAGCTGGGCAGAGGGCTCAGTAGGAGCTGCAGAGAACATTGGGTGCTGCAGGAGAACGGTGCTCCCATTGTCCAAGCAAGGCCTTCCCCTGCATAACCTGGTTCTTTGACCTTTGCGGACCCCTTTTCAGAGGAGTGTCTTTAAATGCAGAAAGTGGGACCTGTGGCCTGGCAAAGACAAGGGTGATCACAGAATGCTTTTTCTCAATTGTGATTAGATAGTACTCAGATTGACTTAGTAGCACATTAAAACAACAAGAAGTACCCTTGGGTTCAATAACTGCTGTAATGTTGAAGTGGTGAACTCAGAAGTAGATCTTGAGGCATCCACAGTATCCGTGAGGAGCCCCGTTGTTGCACTGGGTAACTCTTGGCAGCTAAGTGAGAGATCAGTGGTTCAAAACCCACCCAGGACAACTCAGGGGACCGACAGTCTAGGTCCTTGAAGATGACAGCCCAGGAAACCCTAGGGGGCAATGCCAGTCTATGCTGTAGGTTTTTGTGAATCCGAATACAGCCACCATGACTGTATTGTGATTTGAAAACAGGGTTTTCAATTGAAGACAATGTCATAGGAACTAGGAGTACTAATACCATTTGTTTGCACTCAAGATGGAAGGAAATGCAGTTTAGAGGCTAGTGAAAATCAAGATACCACTTTTCCCCACCCAAATTCAAGGACCTCCTGAATTCTGTGTATGGACCACAGGTTTACACTTTACTCTGGTCTCCCCTCCCCACCTGAGAACAGGGCTGCTCCTTCATCTGGTTTCAAACCTAAATGTCTAGGAAGAGCCTCTCACACTCTTCCCACTTGTAGCTGGGTGGGTTCTTGGATTTGCAGGTAGACAATCACACTGATTGCGAATGATAGCCTCTTCTCTTTTAGCTAGGTGAGGGCCTACCTGCTGTCATCCCTTGCCCTCTGCTGGGGAATGAACACAGCAAAGGGGGTGGGGCATGGAATCTTACCAGAGGTACATCCAATAAAACATTGAGTTAAAGTTTAAAATGGGCCTAACCCCCTTGGGAAAGGAGACCTGGTGGCACAGTGGATTACAATTCAGACTGCTAACTACAAAGCCAGCAGTTCAAAACCACCAGCCATTCCTTGGGGAAATAGACAAGGCTTTCTACTCCTGAAAAGATGTAAAGTTTTTAGAAACCCAATACAGGGTCGTTAGGAGTTAAAATGGACTCATGGGAGTAGGTTCCACTTTGGGGACTGGGATGAGATGGGACTGAAACAGGACTATTGTGGAAGTCAGACCAAGATGTCTCTAAACAAGGCCTCTGCCCAGCAGGGGCGTCAGGGTAGCAGGCCCTGGAAAAGTGGACTCAGTGGAAGCTGATTAGAACAGTACCCAGATGCCCACACTGAATCCCAGGTACCCAGCCGTGAAGACGTTAGTTGTGTGGCACCGGGGACTCTGCAGGTGTGAGTCAGCCAAGTCTTGAGACAGGAGAGCAAGGGGCCATCATGGTGGGTCCGACGCTGTCCCTTGAGTCCTTAGGAGGTGGACACAGGAGGGGCAGGGGTAGAGGAGATGTGGCCACAGAGGCAGTAGAGGTTGGAATAGAATAATTCGGGATCCTGAGTCTAGGAATGCACACAGCTTCTAAAAGCCGGAAGGATTGGACTCCAAACCACCCCCACCACGCCGCCCCCATAGAGCCCCAGCTGTTAGCTCATTGAGGCGCCTGGCAGCCCCAGGGCCGCCAGATCCACAGGAGAGGACATGCTTGTTTTAGGCCGCTCGGTTTGTGATGGTTGGTTACAGAAAGCATAAGAAACGAATACACCACCACCCCTCCAAAGATTTGTGATGCCCCCTGGCACCCAATCAAAATTTGAGGGGTGTGTGAGAGCTGGCCATTTCTTGGGGAGGCCGAGGCTGTGAACTACCACTTCTAGAAATGAGGTAGGAACCTGGGCCAGCTGGGGCGGCTCCACAGGGAGGCCCTCTGGCCTGGAGGAGCTGGCTCGAGCAAGGGGGCCCAGCACCCACCTCCCCTCCCCAGAGGGAGAGCACTTGTTGCCACAACTTTCTGAGCAGGGTGTCTCCCCGAACTCTCCTACCTCCAGCCTCAGCCCCCTCCAGTGGAGCCCCAGGGGCCCAAGGGTGCCCGCTCCCCTCCCCATCCCCCCGCCCGCCCCGGGGCAGAGTGTGCAGGAGACCAGCAGGGCCACTCGGGCCCCCTTTCCAGAATCTGCAGTGGCGCGGGAAGGGGCGGTGGGCTGCCAGCAGCCAGGCCGGACGGACGGACTCCCTCTAAAATATTCAGGGCTGCCCCTCCCTCCCTCCACCCGCCGAGGAAGGAAGTGGCTCCCTCCTCCCACCCCTTTCCGCGGACTGGCCGCCCTGGGCCCCGGATCCATTCTCGTGATTCGCTCCCAGGGCGGGACCTTTGTCCACATGCAGGGCTGCGGGAGGCCGGTGCCCAGGAGCAGCGGGGCCAGCTGGCCGGAGAGTTAGAGACAAGCGGGCTGAGTGACCTAGGGACGGGCGGGAAGGAGAGGTGAGATAGAGACCCGAGCCGAGCCGAGACCAGCCATCAAGTTGGAGGGAGGATGCAGGGGGCAGGCCTAGCGCAGGGGCGGGGCGGCGGGCAGGAGGGCGGCCCCTGGGCGCCGCGAGCTCTACTTGCTGCGGTGGCCGCGGGCGGGTGGGTGCAGCGGGGTAAGTACTCCCGGGCCAGGGGCGCAGCCCCTGCTCCAAATCCCCCCCATTCCCCACCCCACTTGCGCAACACTCAGGAAAGAGGGAAGCACCCTCCTAGCCACCGCCTGGCAATGGGACCCCGGCCCCTGGGGCCCTCCCAGCGATTTTCCACGGGGGACTGACGACGGGGAAGGCAGTGCTTGAGGTCCAGGAGAGGGAACGCCTATCAGCCTCAATGACCTCCTCTGGGAAATAGGCATGTGGATTAGCATCACCCTTATATATTGAGGGCTCACTGGGCCTGTGGCCTTCACCTCATCACTCCTCCCAGCAGCGCGGGAAGCAGGTGCCATCTTCTCTATCCCACAGGTGAGGCGACCAGGAGAGGCCAAGTCGTTTGCCTGAAGTAACACAACCAAAAGAGACCAGCCAGAACCTCTGCCAGGTCTGTGGGAACCCCTGAGCCCTTTTACCCATCACCCCTGCTCTGTGAACTCTGGAGAGAAGTGGGTGTACAGGTGGTGCTGGGTGTCCTAGGAAGAGGCCAAATGAGGAGCTCACCCATCAGGAAGTGGAGAAAGAGGGGTAGCGGGTGCTCATGCCCCCAGAGCATCCAGGGCAGCAAATCCTTCACCTGGAAAGACAAGGGAAGTCAAAAGGTGTTGCTGCTAGGGCCCCCCGTTCACAGGTGCACAGGTGTGTTGCAAACAGACCTGTTTTAACAGGTTTCTGATCAGTGGGTGGCAGCCGGCAAATTCTCTCACTGATAGTCTCAGCAGGCAAAGAGTCCAATTCAAATCGTGGCCGGGCCACTTCCATTCAAGGCAGAGGGGTCAGTTCAGAAAGTTGTGGAGGCTGGGTTTTATCGTTCCAAAAGGGTCATTTTGATAGATTTTTCTTTAAGGGCACAAGGAGGTCCCAGAGGCTTATTATGAAAAACTTTTAAGAAGATGGAAAACTGCCTTGGTGAGGAGAAAAGTCCAGGACATGGTGACAGTACACCCACTCATTTTTCTAGGGTAGCAAGGACCATCCTAGGGGAATTTCAGTGGGGAAACTTTCCCCATCCACCCTGCAGCTCTGATCTTGCCCTTTCAGACTCTGTTCCCCAAACTCAGAGACCACTTCAAAGAACCAGAATTTGCATCCCTGGAGGCTGCCAACACTGCGCTTTTGACTTGGTATCAATGGAAGAGCCCAGAATCCTTTGTGGGAAGAGTCAGAGAGATAGAAACCCCGCCTTGTGAAGTGTAGGTGGAGGATATGTCACTGCCAAGTGATAATAGTTCTGCATTGGGGTATTTTTATTTAATAAAGTGTCTGATTTTGTAGCAATACATTTCCACTTAGCCTGGTACCTTCCACTCCCACCTTGTGGGGCAGGGGGTGCTGAGTAAGCAGCATACTGAGACCGGGAAAGGATAAACCCTAGGACAGAGGAAGTGCAGTGTGGAGTGGGGATCTTCACCCAGGGCCCCCCAGGCAGTCGCCTAGCACCCCCTCCCACCGACTTGGGTGCAAGGGCTCTTGCAGGCTTAGCCGTGGGACTTCTCCCCTCCTGGGGCGAGCAGAGTGAAGGTCTAATTGGCAGGTATGTGGAGTAAGGTAAAGGTGATGTGCAGGTGTAGCCCAGAGTCCAGAGCCCTCCTCCACTCAGGCTGTCCCTCTGGACGGCTTTGACCTTCACAGGTTGGTCAGGGCTCTGGGGGAGCTGCAGTATTTCCGGGCAGCCCCACCAGCAGCTGGAAGCATCTTGAGTAAGAGCAAGGCTGAGGGCTGCAACTTCTCCCCATCTGACTCCCTGGGGAGTCCCAGCTCCGCCAGAGTTGCTTTGAGGGCAGCGTTTTGAAAATCTTTCAGCAGAGGCTTGCACAATTCCAGAGCTGCTCTGCAGCCCCCAGGGCCCTCCCTCTGAGACTGGTTAGCAAGAAGGAGGAAGCCCAGAGCCTGAGCCTCCCCTTGATGCTCAAGCCTAAAACCTCGGCGCCATCTCTGTTCTTTTTCTCTCACGCACCCCATCTCCCTGGTCAAGTTCTTCCCTCAAGCAGATCCAACATCATCCGCACCTGAACCCCATAGTCCAGGCCACTGTCATCTCTTGCCTCCTCACTGAACTCTTGTTGCCATTCTTGATGCCCCAAATCCTCAGCACTATCTACCACAGTCTCCTGCTACTGTCCTCGCCATGGTCTGCTGCAGCCACTCGGCCCGATGGCTCTTCTTTGGACACTCAGCTCTTCTCTCTCTAGCCTGTGCTCAGGCTGTTCCTTCTGCAATCTCCTTGTGACATAGCCCCCTTGAAGTTCAGAGAGCCCATGTCAGCTCCCTAGAAGTCTTCCTTGATCACCCTGGATGGAGGAGCCTCCCTGCCCCCCATGTCTGTTCCCCATCCCATCTTTCTTTCTGCCCTGGGTGGTGTGACCTCATCTGCGCATTTGCTTAGCTCCTTATTTGTCTTCTCTGCTAACACACCAGCCTCCCAGGGGCCTGACTTTTGCCTTGTTCTTCATCTCTGATTTCTCCACGACCCAGCACAGTACCTGCCCAGTAGTGAGTGTCCAGGTCACTGGGCAGTTGCCAACAGAGTGTGCAATCCCCGTGAGTTCTACTTCACTTGCATTCCCTTGCCTAACAGATTTCCTTCTGCGTTGTCCCACAGCCCTCGGGCTGCTTATTCCTCTGAACAGACCACGGCCTTTCTCATCTCTCCCTAAAGTGGGACATGCGGGCCGAGTCTAGGTTTTAGCCAGCATAACCAAGTTTAGCTGTAACCCAGCTTAGCTTTGTCCACATGGTGTGTCTTTTGCCGTCAGATGATTTACTGGAGGTATAGTTCCCAAACTCGAGCCTTCGAATGCAAGGAGCAATCATTCTGAAGGCACTTGCCTCGTATTACCAGGTGCCTGTTCTGGAAGATGACCCCCAGCACCATAGGCACATTTCCATATCGCTCCACAAGCATTGCGTTTTATGATTTTTATCTGTTAGGGCTAGTTTTATGGAAAGGGCATGGTTGTTAATTATTTGCCTCTTGAGTTCGTGAAGCTGAGTGTTTCTCTGGGCGTGTCAGCCATTTCTATTTCCTGTCTGGTGAAGGGAGGTAATCTCCACTTTTCCTTTCACCTTCACTTAGGGGGATGGTTCAGGTTGCGCTCATCCTGGGCGCTGATGAGCGCCCCCAGAGGCTGCAACTGGGAACGCACCCAGCCCAACTCGCCACCTAGCCATCAACTAACTCCCTGAGGGTCCTTTGTACCCTTGGCTTAATCAGGAGGAAAGAAAAGTCTATGTGTCTGTCTGTCCCTCTCTTTCTCTCAAGTCTGTAAGCATCTTTTTTCCAAAGTAGTAATATAATTGTTTTTAATTATAAAAGGATGACTTGGACGCAGGGTTATTAGTTAGAACCCCAGGGCAACAGAAGATAGGAAAACAATGTTGCTTGGCACCGGCACTATACATTTGAAGGGATGTTCCTGCAGTGGGTACCACACTGCAGCTGTTGCCCAAATGGACTGGATGTAGAGTGTACCGATGTGTCATGATCGCTGAGATACTGGAGTAGTTTACGAATGCTGCTTCCCTTTTACTCAGATCCACAGTCAACACTCATGGAAGCAGCCATTGAAACCAAGCCACAGAGGGCACTGGCAAATATGCTGCAAAGGACTTCGCTCTAATGTGGTGGAGAGCAAGAATGGCACTTGAAGACGAAGGTGCACCTGGCCCAAGCCCAGGGTATTTTCTTTCTCCTCATATTCATGGGGAAGCTGGACAAAGCTGGCCCCAAAGAATTGATGCCTTTGAGTCACAGTGCTGGTGGAAAATAATGACTATACTATAGACTACCGGAAGACCAAACCAACCCATCTGGGAAGAAGTAGAGCCAGAAAGTGCCGTGGAAGCAAAGATTACAAGACTTCATTCCAAGTGCTTTGGATATTTTATCAAGAGAAACCCATCCCTGGACTGGGACACGATGCTTGGTCAACTCAGAAACCACAGTGGTTCTACCCTGTCCTACAGGGTCGCTGTGAGTTGGCGTTGACTTAATGGCAGTAAGTGAGTTTAAAGTAGAAGGTCAGCGAAAAGAGGAAGATCCTCAACCCGGCGTATTGGCCCGATGGCTGCAACAGTGGGCTCAAGCATGGGAGCACATGAGGATGACACAGGCCATGACAGTGTTTTGTTGTATTGTACGCAGGGTTGCTATGGGACAGAACCGACTCCAGGGCATGCAACAGCACGGGTGCTGTGACAAATGACTACAAACCTGGTGGCTTAGAACAACACAAGTGTTCAATCTGATACTTTTGGAGGTCAGAAGTTCAAATTAGGACTGACTGAAAACTAAAAACTCCCTGCCATGGAGTCAATTCTAACTCTTAGAGACTCTCTAGGACAGGGTCCAACTCCCCCTGTGGGTTTCTGACACTGCGCGGGAACTGCTGCCTTTGTGGTTAGCAGCCTAATGTCAGGACATCACTGGGCTAAAATCCAGGTGTGGGCAGGGCTGTGTTCCTTCTGGAGACTAGGGGAGGATGTGTCGCCTTGCCTTTTCCAGCTTCTAGACACAACCCACATTCCTTGGCTGTGGACCTTTACCCCTTCTAGCCCCCTAGTATCGTACATTCTTTCCTCTAACGGTAACCCTCTTGTCTTCACCTTATAGGAACCCTTTTGATGACCTGGGTTCACCCAAATATTCCAGGACAATCTTCCCTTCTTAAGATCTTCAGCTTTTAATTACAGCTGCAAACACCCCCCCCTCCTTTTTTTTTTTTTTTTTGCCACATCAAGTACCATCTTCACGGATTCCAGGGAATAGGATGTGCACATCTTTGGGGCCCCTCACCCAGCCGGCCAAAGATATGTTAAGGAAAATAAGCAAGGTTTAGTGCGGGGCATGGGCTCACATCTGCTCAAAACAAAAACAAGAGATTTCAAAAAGGGAATTAAAAGATAATGGAATTCTTCCATGAACTTTTGGAAGCCCCCTTGTATCCATGAATGTTCTTGCATGGCACAGAACACCCCAGAAGGAGACAGGAACCTAGTAAGAATGGCTTCTTCTAGGCAGGAGAACAGAGTGGGAGGAAGACTTACTGGTCATAGTAAATATTTTCTGTTCTATTTAAATTTTTTACTACATACATATGTCACCTATGTTAAACATAAGTAATGTGGAAAAAGTAACACGGAGTCATTATGAAAATGTAGCCCCTCCAGAAACAAGGGAAAGGAAAATAGCTGTGCTTCTGTCCAAGGGGGGAGGGGGGGATGGGGGCAGATGCCAAAGACCCCAAACTCACTGTCATAGAGTCGATTGTGACTCACAGAGACCCTCCCTATGGGACCGAGTGGAGCTGTGCCTGTGAGTTTCAGAGGCTGTTAATCTTTTTTTTTTAATTTTAATTTTATTAAGGGCTCATACAACTCTCATCACAATCCATACATCAATTGTGTAAAGCGTATTTGTACATTCATTACCCTCATCATTCTCAAAACATTTCCTCTCCACTTAAGCCCCCGGCATTAGGTCCTCATTTTTCCCCTCCCTCCCCGCTCCCCCCTCCCTCATGAGCCCTTGATAATTTATAAATTATTTTGTCATATCTTGCCCTGTCCGACGTCTCCCTTCACCCACTTTTCTGTTGTCTGCCCCCCAGGGAGGAGGTCACATATAGTTCCTTGTAATCGGTTCCCTCTTTCCAACCCACTCTCCCTCTACCCTCCCACTATCGCCACTCACACCACTGGTCCTGTAGGGCTCATCCGCCCTGGATTCCCTGGATTTCCAGTTCCTATCTGTACCAGTGTACATCAGAAGCTGTTAATCTTATAGGAGCAGAAAGCCTCATCTTCCCCCAGCAGGGCGGCTGGTGTTTTGAACTGCTGATCTTGTTAGTAACTGACTCATAATCATCCACCACAGCAGCAGGGCTCCTTTCTTCTGGGAGGGGATCCCTCCCTTTTTCCTCAGAAAGAACAACTTGGAAGAGTTTCTAAACTTAAAAAATATGTAGGTAATTTTTCAACATGGATAGGCCTGCTGTATACATCCTATCTTGTCACATGATCTTTTTGACTTACTATATTATTACTATACTGTGTTTTGACATATTTTTATATTTAAATGTGAAAATTTGATAACAGCCTTGTCACTGCTCAGATGAGCTTAATGGATTTAACTAGTCCCCACTGGTGGGCATTTAGAATCTTTGCTGCTTTCTAGAATAATCCCAATGTCATAATGTATACTCTTAAAAAAACAAAAACTGAGATTTGCATAAGTTTTTAACATGAACACCTCAGTGTCTTTTACTATACTTGCAATATTGTCCAACTACTACGTCTTTTCTCGCTCCAGAACATTTTTTGCTTACCCCAAAGGGAAACCCTGTTCCCGTGAAGCAATTATTTTCCCTTCCCCTCTACCCACTGCAACCCTAATCTGCTCTGCACATGGGTTAGCCTATTCCAGATATTACATATGACTGCCTGTGCTCAGCTTATTTCACACAAACTAATAGTTTCAAGTGCACGCTGTAGCATGCTCAAGACTTCATTTCTCTCTCTGTCGGAGTAGGATTCCAGTGGGTGTGGAGGCCACATTTTGTTTATGTAGGTATCTATTGATGGGCTGGCTTGATTCCACCTTTTAGCTTTGGTGACGGTGCTACTTTGAGCACACACCTCCCCGCAGGTGTTTGAACATCTGTTTTCAGTTCTTTGGGGTCTCTTGTATAGTGACCAGACGTCCCGCTTTTGGCAGGACAGTCCGGATTTTTGGCTTTTTTTAAAAGTCCCAATTTTTGGAAAGAATGCACGACAAGCTAGGGAAGGGTCTATTTGGTCCATATAGACCAAATTTGTAATCAAGAACCCACCCCCGGTCAAGCGTGTCCCACTTTAAATCTGCTCACCATACTAGGATGAGTGGTCTTTGAGCCTTAGCCTCCTTTCAGACATTATTACCCCGAGCCAGTCATAGCGCACCACCACAGGGGGACGAATAACAGAAATGTGGGTGAAGGGAGACAATGGACAGTGTAAGACACGAAATAACAACAATAATTATAATTGATCAAGGATTCAGGAGGGTGGGAAGGTGGGTGGGGGAGTGGGGGAGAAAGGAGGAACTGATACACAGGGCTCAAGTAGGAAGAAAATGTTTTGGAAATGTTGATGGCAAATGTACAAGTGTGGGTGGTGACATATCTGGGCAAACTTTTTTTTTCTTTCTTTTATCAGAGCCGGAGGCGGCAGGAAAATGGCCACGTGGAATGAAAAGGTAAATTGGTTCCCCGGGGCTAACGGTGAGACACCCTCTCACCCTTGAGAGAATTTGGCTGGGTGTTTTCAAACTGCGGAGAGGGAACCCGGCCGTGCAGGATGTTTCCATCATCTCCAAGTGTTTAAAGTCACAAAGGTGAAAAACCCTGGAAGAGCCTCGCCAAAATGTGAGCTAGCCTGGTAACGTGAAATCAGAGCGTTGGAGCCCTAGCTCTGGATCTTCATACCCACATGTCCTTACCCTAGAGGCCCTTTTCTCTTCTGTGAGCGAGCACATTCCCCCCCTCCTCCCACCCGTTTCCATATCCAGAAAACAGTTGAAAGATTATCCACCACCCCAGGCCCTGGAAGACTGTTGGGAGGATTCCACGAGATGATGCTCAATGATGAATCGTGGGCACAGAGAAATAAAGCCTCTTGCCCAAATTCACACAACTTGGAGGCAGCTGAGGTGGGATTCCAACTCTGGCCTGACTTCCAGAGCAAAGGCTTTGCCTAATGAACTCGGTCGCTGAACTCCAGGGGTAGGATGGGTTGGGTGTGGTGGAGAGGAAGTGTTGGCTGCTGTCTTCGCTGCTGGCTTGGGACTTGAGGAGTGCTGGCCTAACAACCATCCCAGATGGGGCTAGCCACTCAGGTTGGCTGCAAGTGTAGGGGGTACAGTCTGAGAAGCAACTACAGAGGACCGTCGAATGATCATGATTGCAATCCTGGAGCTTACTAACTGGGTGATACCTGGAATTCTGAGGGTTGCCCTGATTTGGGAAATGAAGAGCGAGGGGGCCCTGGCCCTTGGAGGAGAATGTCATCCCTTCTTCTGACTCAGACATGTCGAGGTGTGGGTTCCAAACACCAGCCTTCCTTCCAGTGTGTAGTTGAGTGCTTGCCTGTGTGTGCCCCCCCAGGACTGTAGTCGTAGTGATAATAAGACAACACACAGAGGTTGAGCAGCATTTCGGCCAGGCACAAACTCGGGGCCGTCCGGGTATTTGTTTTTTAACCCTCACAACGACCCTGTGAACTTATAGGTAGACACACTGAGGCATAGGGAGGTTTCCCTGGTGGCTCTGCCCTGTGCACTTCTCAGAGGCAAATCATTCAGAATCAAGATTGTCTCCTGGGGAAAGAGTCCCACCCAAGTAGGACAGACTGGAGAGCAACCCTTGGGGAGGACAGCCTCCAGGCCGGCACCGCTCATCCATTCGCTCCTCTACCTGAGCCTCGGTTCTCCTTTCCTGTAAAATGAGACAGCAGGCACCCCATGGCATGGGGAAGGTTAGTTCAGACCATGCCCAGGGCACACTCAGCAGGACTCAGCAAGAGTCACAGCCAACTCTTAAAACACAGCGTGAGGGGGCGTTGACTACACGATAGCATTGCAGCCCATCACTGCCCTTTGCCCCATCTCCCCTTCTGGGCACTTGGGAGACCCGGAGGAGCCCTTTGCCTCCCTTCTCAGGAGGCACTTGGGAGACTGGGTGGCAGCCATGGTTCATGTACAGCACTGGCTATGCCAGACCAAGTCCTTCAGTATTCCTGGGAGTCTGAGACTTTGGCATCTCTAGGTTTCAAAGCTTCCAGGTAATTCTAAGTGCAGTCAGACCAAGAGCCTTTTGCCAGATTAGACAGGGCTTCTCATTGCAGCTGTACTCCAGTGAAATAGGCAAGGGGGTACCCTTAACTCTTTATTTTCACCTCTGATCAGCCAAAGTGTGACTAGGACATCCCGGGGTGGGGGAGCAAGCGGTTGATGGGTCTTCCTTTCTCCCTGGGTGGTTAGTGTTGTATTTTTATGTTTACACTCCCTGCCATTGAGTCAGCTCTAATTCAGCGCCCCCATAGGACAGAGGAGAACTGCCCCTGAGGGTTTCCCGAGTTGTAACTCTTTACAGAAGTAGAAAGCCTCATCTTTCTCCTGCGGAGCTGGACGGTAGTCTTGAATTGCTGACCTTGCGGTTAGCCGCCCAGCACATCCCCTATGATGCCCCCAGGGCTCCTTGTGTGTGCTTATGCACAGCAGCTCTTCCTGATGCTGCCCCCTTGCCAGTTGATGTGCCCAGTGGTACAATCGTTGGACGAGTTATTGGGTCTCTGGCAGTCATGACTTCCCCTTCCCCCAGGGAAGTAGGCAGGACATGCATACATGCTTCTCCCATGTCTTCAGGGGCAGGGCTTGAAATCCCATGTTGCACATGGTAACTTCAATGTCAGGCATAGAACTGAGTATCTCCGAGTGTCTACTAGAAGCAGGTGTAAATTGTATTTCTTAATTGAGAAAGACAGGTTAAGTTCCTACTTACCATGGGTTCCATTCCAGTGACTCAGTCTGATGGTGGTTGAATGCCCCCCACCTTTTTTTTAACCTTCCAGTTTTCATTATTGCTTTTATTATCAGTACCTGTATAAATCATGTAGGAGTAAACGCAAGAATAACCTCAGCAAATTACACAGTTCAACATTGTATGTTAGTACATGTTACTGACAGTAAGATGTGCCAAAAAAAAAGACGGTCCTAAGTACTGTTCATTGTGACTCAAATACGTTGTAAGTTGGGGACTCCCTATATGGCCCTGAGCCCTCTGCCCAGGCCTGGATTTGCATAGCTGTGAGCCAGGCCTTAGGCCAGGCACCATCCTGGTCAAGAGGTAGGTAGTACAGGAAGAGCTGGCTTAGGGCCAGTGGCCTGGGTTGGGAGCCCCACTCTACTTCTCATTGTCTGGGTGGCTTTGGGTCACTAAACTTAGTTGCATCATCTGTCATTGGAGCTGGTTCAGGCAGTCCCCACTTTGGAGTAGCTGTGATGTTCCTGGGGGCTATGTTTACAAAAGACTTGGCCCAGGGTGCCTTGTGGGCTCTTACTGTGATGAACCTTCTTTCCCTCATCACGGGCACTCAGCCTCACCATCATCTTGCCAGGTTGTCTACCAAAAAAGGAGGGGTCCTCACCTCACAGGAAAGAGGGATACAAGCGGAGAGCCCCACCTGAGGGGCTCCCTGACCACCAGGCTGAATTCTCAGACCCTCTCGAGCTCCTCAGCCCATGTGCACCCCCTCCCACCTGAACTGGTCTGCCGCTATGGTGGCTGGTTTTGTGAACCTCAAACTTCCTCCCCACCCAGGAGAAAGCAAAGCTTCTAAAGCTATTTAAAGACTTCCTTGATTTTAAAAATAGGCATTCCTCAGAACACAGCTCCCCGGGGGCTGGGGGTGTGGGGTGCTGGGTGGGGTGACCTTCTGCCCACCTTCCCCTCAGCCTCTCAGAGGCAGGCATTCTGCCCCTGATGCCCCTAGAGGAGAGAGTGGCTGAGGGATTCATTCCTTTGGAGGAATGGAGAAGCTACCTATGTGGTGGGGGTCGGGAAGGATAAAAAGATAAGTGGCAAACTGTGGGTGGGGGGATAATGTGTCAGCAGGCATTGTAGGTGATGGAAGCCACCTGTGCAAAGGCCCTGTGGTGGGAGGGACCTACAGGGGACAAAGGCCGGTGGAGGCCTTGTGTAGAGTAGAGAGCGGTGAGGTCAGTGGGCAGGCAGAGGCCACAGCCTCACACAGAGGTGGACCTGGGCCTCAGGAAGGTACTTTGGTCTTGATGGGTTTTTTTAACAGTTTTATTAGCACTTCATCCACGTGTCTTACAATTCAGTAGTCCAATCATAATTTTCTTCTTCCTTGTACTCATGGTTATTCATGTCATTTTTTCCCTAGTTGTGGTGAAAATATACACAACAAAAGATTCTCCAATTGCACACATTCTACATGCAGAATTCAGTGTCATGGATTATGCTCTTCATATTGTACAACCAGTATTGGCATCCTTTTCCAAACCATCCCATCTCCATTAATACAGACTCAGTGGCCCCTAAAGCAACAACTCCTTCTCCTTCACCCTTGGTAACTATTGGTCGAGTTTGGTTTCTTTTCTTTCTTGTTCCTTTAGTAATGTTCTTGATATCATTTTCACATGGTCTTGACTTCTAAGAGCAGCTGGCAGCCAAAGAAGAGCTTTCGGTCAGGAGTCTTTGGGGATCCCCACGACCTAAATGAGCACCCAGTCTATTGTGCTCTCGCCCCCAGCCCCAAATACTCCACCACTCAGTCCTCTGCAGACTGGATCTCACCCCCCCAAATGGCAACTTTGTTGGGTCAAAGTAAATAGAAGTGGACGTTTCTTGTGCCCCCTCACCCCCGTTGAAACCTGTTGCTGTACGGTGAGTTCCAACACCTTGGTTTGGGTTGGTGGTTTTGTAAGATACGGTCCAGTCTGTGACTTGCCAGCGTCTGCCTGACTAGCTCAGGGCTTTCTGGGCCAGCGGGCGTGTCGCCAGCTTAGCAGCAGCTGCATAGTCCTCTGCCTGTGGACCAGCCCGGGTATGTTCACCCACGGCTCTGGTCCAGCTGTTGACTCTTGCCCAGGATGGCAGTGAACATCTGTGTGCTCACACACAGGATCCGAGGGTCTGGCCAGGAGGGTGGCATTTTAAGTTTGGATCGGGAGTGGTTGATTGCCCTGACTCCTTAGGCTGCACATCTGGAGACTCAAATATTTTGGGGAAAGGTGGACAATCAATCTTGCCTAATTGTCCTCCCCAAAGGGTCCATCCACTTCTATGTCCACTGCGGGGTACGTGAGAGTGTCCACTTCCTTAGGCCTTTGGGTTGGTGACACGGTATGACTTCACCAAGTGGCCTTCCCACGTGGTGCCTCAGTTTCCCCACCTGTAGAATGGAGAGATCGTTCCTCCCTGCCCTGCTCACGCAACAGGGCGGAGTCAGAGGGCTCTGTCCATAACCCTGAGCCAACCGGAGCAGTAACTGCTGGGACTGGCCACAGGAGCGGATTTCCGCCAGGTAGTTCTGTGAGCTCTGAGGGAGAAGGCGCTCATAGCCCTACCCGCCCTAGGCTATCGTATGTAAGTATCCTCTAGCGCAGTGGCTCTCCACCTTCCTCAGGCCGCGATGCTGTCATGCAGTTCCTCATGCGGTGGGGACCCCCAAGCA